TCATGGGACAACAAGTTACACAAGAAATAAATAAGTTGTCTGCTTTACCATCTTCAAATATACTTTTTAAAATATATTTATGCATGTATACTGACAGTAAAGTACAAAAAGGCTTAGGTAAGGGATTACAATACCCTGTCAAACACAGCTGGGTTTCATCACAATCAGACATTAGGTTCACAAGGATTTCTGTAGTAACATTGTGGTGTTATAACAGCGTGTTCGGGTTTTGAAATTTGGAATTGTAATGTTTACATAGGAGTGAATCAAATCTAGAGCTGAAAATAATTATTCAATTTGATACCGTTTTTAATTACATATTTCCACAAAACAGACAAAATGTAAATCAAATAAAAACATTTACATGTAAAAATAATTGATACTAAACAATACAGTGGACTCAGTAACTTAAACTACAAGTTAGTTTAAAAAAAAATGCTTCCCATTTTCTTTTTGACTCCTTCCCGTTATTGTCTAAAATAAAATAATTATTTTATTTCTCCTCACCAAAATATCCTGGAACAGCCAAGTTAAGCCAGTTTAAGTAACATTGATGGGTTTTTTTACACCAGCTTTTTCTTTAGCTGTTACCTAGCTAAAGCTAACATTTGCAATTAAAAAAAAATTCTGTTTTTCTGGTAACAGCAGCAAAATAATTCAAACAAAGTTAACTGCTTAACTTCATTTAAATGGTCACATCAAACCAACATTTCTCTTTGTAACATTAGTGTCTTATGGTCATGTTAATCGTGTTCACATATTAATTCCTAGATTTGCAAAGATTTTAAAGATTTAAAGGTCCATAAACTTTCAAGTCATAAACACAATGTTGTTATCACAACGACTTGGAAGTCTGAAGTTCCATCTGAAAGGAAAGAAATCTGAAATGTAATTTTACATTTACAATTACATTTTTTACTTGTAAGCTAGTTGAAAAGTAAAGTAAAATTAGCCAATTTTCAACTTTTGCTTAAAAAAAATGTTAGACTCATCTTATTAAATTCTTCTCTTTTTAAAAACAATATTCAAAAAAATGTCAATCATTATAACTGCATGTTTTCTAGGAAAGCTTGTTTCTGACTTTTTTACTATCCATAAATTAAAATTTCAGGTTAGCTTCTCGAGAGGAGTCGACATTTGAAGTTGGGTATCTTGTAATTTCAACTTAAAAGTAAATCAAAAACTTTAAGTAATACCGAAATTTTAACTTACTTTTCCCTGGCTATGTTTGTTTGTTATTTGTTTAAAAAAAAAAATCAAGCAATCAATAATGTTGCTTATTATATTCTTTTTCTCAAGCTAGCTAAAAAGTAGCATTAGCTTGCTAAATTTGATGATGTTAGCGACTATTATAAAGAAGTTTTTGTTTTGATTTTTTCATTTAAAATCAGTCCTGTTAAATTAAAAACCATAATTTGGATTCATTACCACTTGATTTGCTCTTGTAAGTGATTCGTTATATTTCACGCTGTTACTGCATTAACCACAATGTTACCACAGGGGACTGGTAAACGGGATCCAGACTGCATTTAAAATGTGTACCATTAAAACTTTCAAGGGACCACAGATCATGCTTTTCCATTCAATGCTGTGACTTATGTTTTCTATATATATTTTACTTAATGTCATTTCTCAGCAAAATAGTCACCTTTTTAGACAAACTGTATAAATATGCAGCACAGAGTGAACACTGCAAACCCCAAAACAGCATCTCTAGTGTCTCACAGGAAAGCATCCAGCAATACAAACGGCAGCAGTGAGAAAGAGGCGGTCAGACATAATAATGCAACCTGCTGAATTTTCTGGCTTTGATCAAAAGCAGTGGCAGTCGCTGCCTCACAGTGGTTATGGACTGTACAGGTAACACAAAGGCAGTGTCTTCCTCCTTGTGTGGGATGCGCCCCGCAAATAAGATGCTGGAAAAAAGTGCCAGAAACACCAACTTATGGCTGTATATTTCAGACGGCTCTCATTTAATTTTGAATAGAGATTTACTATCCTTCATGAAACTAGCGCTCACTCTGCCGGCCCCCAAGCTTCACAATCAGAGGATGAAACAGAAACAGAGTCAATGAGGATTTCCGGGGGTGTCAGTTGTCACGGTTTGACTGCAGTGGCAGGTTCAGGACAGGCTGGGGTGGACGCTGGTGCCGGCTGAGCCAATGTGGAGAACCAGGTGGACATGGCTGTCTTGGCGCTGGTCAATGCTCCTCCCACTGACTGACCTGAGAGTGGAAAATAGAGAATTTCACTTTACTTTTTAGTTTTTCCTACAGTGACACCAGAACGAATTCTTACAGTAGACATTTGATTACTTAATAAGGGCAAAGTCATGGTTACAGTTAGGTCTGTAAGTGTTTCTACAGTTTTTTATAAAACTTCATTCAGTTTGGTATTTAAACACTTAAAAGCATGCTGTGTTTCACAGAGATCAGGTAACTAAGTCTCTGAAGAATACTCAATTTCTTTACCCTTTAGAAACTCTTGGGTTGCTTTTGCGGTTTGCTTTGGTTCATTATCACTTTGTACTTTACTGCTTGGTGTTTACCTTACAATATAAATTCCCTTGAGAGCTACTCTTGTGGTAATTTGGCAGTACATAAATAAAAGCAAGCTGAAATTGAAGTGAAGCTTCCATTTCCTGGTTCCATCCCATAAGTCAGGGGTGGGGGAACTCCAGGCCTCAAGGGCCGCAGGTTTTAGATGTGTTTGATCCAACACAGCTGATTTAAATGGCTAAATTACCTCCTTAACATGTCGTGAAGCTCTCCAGAGGCCTGTTGATGAACTAATCATTTGATTCAGGTGTGTTGACCCGGGGCGATATCTAAAGGACACTGGCCCTTGACAGCCTGGAGCTCCCCACTCCTGCCATAAGTCTTTCAAGTCTTATGTGGCGTTCCTGTTTTTGAGTGTAACTGGTGGTTTTTGTCCCTTGTTGTCAACTTTCTGTATTTATATTTGCCTTTGACAATGATACGCACACCTCCTCAAAAGTGCTTCGTTTGGTTGTATTTTGTAAAAGGTTTTTCTTAACCATGGAATTCTGTGATCATCCACTTCAGTGGTTTTCCAGGCCTTTTGGTGTTGCTGAGCCAGCCCGTCTGTTTTTTAGGAATGTGCCACATTGTTGGATCTCTAATAGATTTATTTTTCAGTCCAATGATGGCCTACTTCACTTGTACTGTCATCTCTTTGGGGTTCATACTGAAAGCTGAATTAAAGCTCAAAGTTTGCACTTTAATGTTAACTGGTAACAGTCTGATCTGGGTTTGACTGAGCAGCTGCCTTACCGACTGCCTTCCCAGTCTGGACTACACTGCGACTGGTTGTCATCATGGCGTTTCCGATCTTCTTCCCTCGCTCGCTGTTCTGCACCGAGCTGCAAAGAGAAAACAAAAGGTTCACGAACGCCCAGAACAAGCAGTCTCTATTTTCATCTCCCTGTCTACAATCTGACACTAAAGGAATTCTTCCTCCTTTCCAGGAAAGAAACCACATAAACGTGCTGTTGCTAAATGTTGCACAAACCTGTTAAAGAGGATTATGTAACAGCAAAGCGACTGAGCATCAGTCACAGGTGGTGAATGTGATGATCGGAGCTGACCCAACAGCGGAAACGAGACGACTAAGTTTCACAACAAATGTAGGGCTAAATGCGGCCGCGCCTAGCTTTATCTGAACAGCAGCTTGGCGCGAATCCAGCACACAACCTTTCACGCGGATCCCCGCTGACCTGACATTCAGCAGGAATCTCGCTCCTGCATCATCTGGGCAAACAGCGGCGTTGTTAAAAAAGACGATGGGGATATATGTCAGCAGCTGCAGGGAGCAGACGTCTGTCACTCAAGCCTCTAATCAGCCGTTATTTCATCTGAACACAAACTCACTGTCGAATTTACTACACGTGAAAATCAAACCAGAGGCCCGCAACGCCGAGGATGCACTTACAAGTGATGTCGGGAAACAAAGCTACCACACATGAAGATTACATCACTGGATTTCAACACACTCACATATGTTCTGTGAGCCAACAAGTCTCAATTTGTCTTATTTATGTTTATGTTATGTTAAATAAAATGCTTGAGGAAAACAAGAAAATCTTTAAGACGGAGAATTTAATGAATATGAAGGCAGGTTCTTGCTTTTATTCTCCATATTTATGGCCATATTTAACCTAAAAGACTGCGATTCAGACTACAAGTCTGCAGGGACTTATTAAAAAAGGTTTTTATAAAACTTTTCAGCCTCATATAACTGATTTTTTCCCCCAAAATGTGTGAAATCGTGACTTTCTTCCTCAATAACTTGTTACTTTTTTATGCTTCACTTGACTTCTTTCTCTTCTAAAGTTTGAGGTTTTTTTTTTTAGTTTTTTTAAATTGTCAATTTATGTCTTAATAATGATAAATTTGCAGTCTGGGAATTTTTCTTGTCCATCTTTGGTTTATTTATTAACTCATTTTTAAAAGTTCAAATATGTGAGTTTCTTTTCCTCATAAATTTGTGACATTTCTGTCTCCCGGGAGCTTGTCATGTCATTGGTAATACACATCAAAGGGCAGAGAAAAGAAATTAAATCAATGCAATAACTGTGAATATTAAAGCAAACATTTAAGATTTCCACTAAGAAAAACTGCTGCCAAGATTCAGAGTGGCTCTGAGAGGCCTGCAGGATGTAAAGTCTACATATGAAACCTAAAACCAAACAGAAGATGAGACGTGTGCGTAGTGCCATCATTCCTTCAAACCACACAGAGCCAGAGTAGCATCAACGTGACACCGCTCGCCGCAGAAGCAGAGCAGAGCGTCAACTTTGCGGCATCTTGGAGTCAGACGGCTGTCCTGCAGCACCGTCGCCTGCAAGTGGATCTGCCAAACAAGCTGCGGTTGCTAAGCCCATGTTGCTAGGATCAATAATCCAGCTTTGTGGCTGCTCATTTCCTCGGCAGGAACCTCTCCTCGCTGTGCTTCTTTTTGGCTAAAGTAGAGGATCTGCTGACGGACAATCCCAGCAGTGCAGTTGGGTCACGCAAATTAAAAAGCAACCGAATATAAGTGAGTGTAGAAGTTTCCTAAACAAATAAAATAAAATCTGTTCGTTTTATATTTTCAGCACCCCGTTTGTTACCATCACCGACTCAACAGTGCCACCAGTAGTCAAATAAAAAAAAAAGAAAGAAAGAAATCTGCAAAGCTTGCAAAATTAGCAGCTGTCTTTAATGTTTGGATGGTTGTTGTTGTTTAATCATCTTTTGTATATGACTGTAGCAGCACATTGTTCCCGGGGTTTCCTGGAGACCATATTTAGTATAAATCTAGAAAAATAAAATATGTCAGTAAGGGTAAAATATATGAGTAAGGGACAAAAGCACCATTAATTTATTTATTTATTTTGGTCTTGCAAACATGTCCCTGTTAACAAAGGCTTATCCTGATGTAAGTGTCTAACGTCCATTAGCACTGCTAACAATTCCTGTCATGTTGGATTTGAGACTATTTTAAACATTCTGACACTAAACAACACATATGGAAAAGAAATAGTAAAAACTACATGATTTACTCATGAAAGTGGCCACTTTCTCATTACTTTCATATATTGTTTTAGTAAGTATCCAAAACATACAAGTTTCATTATATAATTTTTCAAGGGATCTTATATCTGTTTTTACTCGTTTCACACAAGACAGATACAAACTTTATAAGATTTATATATATCTTTTCCATATAGGAAAGCTTTTTTTTTTAAAAAAAAAACTCCATATAATCTCCTTTATATTAATGTGGGTTAATTTACCATCACAGTCGTCTGTTGACATGTGCTGTTATGACAATTTCTTATGGTAAAAATGTGTCCGAACAATAATTTCACAACTTTTACATTCGTTTCATGTAGAGAAACTGTGGAAATATGCGGTTCCTTTGTTTTGATATTATCAGCTTTGATTTCATATTAACAAGAAAGTATTCCTGTACAAAATATGATGTAAAATTTGAAAAACTTTTTAAAGTCTTAACCATGAAATAATTGCAAAAAGAAACATTTTTTGAGAACTGAGTGTTTATTGAACCTTCCGACTGGTCTTTAAAATAAATTAGATATTAATTTGCATATATGAGTGTTCATTTGTATCATATTTGCTACAGCGGGCATTTTTTGTAAGTTAATAATTACAAAATATATTGTGGAATTTATTTTGGTTTTTCAGTGGGAAAAAAGAAAACCCAGAAGACGATTTGCTTTAAAGGGTTCATTTTGAATTTGTCACTTTTTCCTTATAAAATTTGTTACTTCTTTCTCACAAATTTTAAAACAAAAGAAGAAACCTGTGATTTCTTTCCTTGTAAGTCTGTGGCTTTTACCTTGAGAATTTCTGGCATTTTTATTTATTTTTTTTCCTTCCAGGAAAATGTTGCAATTTTTCAGTTAAAAAACAAACAAACAAACAAACAAACAAAACATTTTTTTTTAAATTTGAGAATTTGTTACTTTTTCCTTGCAAATTTGTCTTTTTTTGTTAATTTGTTCCTTGTTTGGTACACGAACAACTGAATTCCTGATAAGTCACAAGTGATCCCATCTGGATATTTTTAGCCACTGAAGCCCGGTCGCTTGAGGGTTAAGGATGGCTCTTGACACTGGTTTAGTGGTTTATGTTTATTCATTACACATGATTAAGTAAACCTACTTAAGATCTTAAAGCTCACATATGATCAGAAATACATCAAAATTAGAGGAGTATTAGTTTAATACTAATGAACGAGATCCAGAATCACGGTTTTAAATGTTTTGCTCGAGATGAACAGCAACACTGGAAAAAATCTTAACTTTGAATGTGTTCAGGGGAAATCTGGGTGAAAGAATGGAAACTTTGTGGCTCACGTGTAAACCTGCCACCCAGTTTCACACTGGTTTCCAGAAAGCCCAGAGCTTCTGTGTGCACTCTCCATCGAGCTGACTGACCCAAAAAAACAGCTCCTTATATAGCAGAGCGCGGTACGCCAACAGTAATGAATCAGTGTGTGTGTGCGTGTCTCTGCAGCTCATCACATGACTCTGTTTTCTGAGAGCATCTCTGCCACCGGCTGCTTTTTGTCCAATGCTGATGATGAGGGGACATGAAAAGAGTTGGCCTTTAGTAGCCCCCTCCTGGTGCTTCAATAATACACATGCAACACAGCACATTCACAAGGAAGTCAAGCGTGGCACTGAGTCTTTCTCTTTCTTTAATCCAGTGATGAGCTGAGTGGAGTGCACAGACTCGGCCTTCTTTTAAACTTTCCCAAGCAGTGGGATACATCAGGCTCGTCACCGTCTGCCCCACTAACCCCAGTCCCCCCCTCTTCCCCAGCCGTGATGTCTCAAGTTGCAGTAAAACAGCTCTGTGTTTACCGATGCAGGGAAACACAGGGGGAGAGTTTTCTGCTGATTCTCCAGCTGATGAGAAGCACCGAGGCAGCTCTTTGGGGTCAAGAAAATGTCCCGAGACTGACGGACACCAAATAAATAAATAAAAGGTCACCGATGACACATGTTACTAAAGAAAACAACAAGCTTTCTTGGTATGATAGAACATTTTAATATGCTGTTTTATTGGCTGGTGTGACTCATAGCTGTCTTGGCCGATACAACGCAGCAGGTTGCAAAACACTTGTGACTTCTAATCTACTGATTCATGTTTCTCAATACAAATTGTCCTCCTGGTTTTGTTTTTTTTAATCTTTTATGCCTGCACATGAATTTCCGCTTCTTATTTTTCTGACTGAGCACAATTTTTCAGCTGCACAGTCTCATATGTACTGATATATGTTCACAAAATGAATATTTTCTACAATTAAAAGGAGAAACAGGAAGTTGGGGGGGATTGGGTGGTGAAGTGTTCACACGGTTCACACCAAAGACCAGAGTTTGTGTCATTTATGTCAGAGGTTTTTGCATTTCTACTTGAAGTTTCCAAGTTAAAATACTAAAATTACTAAACATCTTCATAATGCTACATTTTCTGTGGGAAAAAAGACGATTTTGAAGACTTGGTTATGTTTAGAAAAAAGTACAGCGCACACTACTCATGTTAAAGCTCTGTTTTCTTGGTTGCCATGGTGATACTAAAGCATCTTGACAACATGTGTCCTGCAGACACTAAACATACTTCCTATTGGAAGACTGTTTTTATTTCACAATAAATAAATAAATATAATGACACAATATGTTCTCACAAACACAAATAATTATCCTGTTTTTTGTGACTATTTAAATTTTTTGCTTTGGCTTCTTTATACTTAATATTTTATATTGCATGTGTAAAAATACTCGTTCAGTGTTTCTATTGTGTTTGTTTTTATTTATTTTCTACTAAAAGA